CAAAGGACAAACAAAATCCATCTATTCACAGCGCTATTCCATCTCACTCATCTTGTGGATACAGAACACAAGACTGATTGCTGTTAACCATGCTTTCAGGGTCATTTACCGCATACCGACTAACAAATCTCAATTTCGCCTTAACAGTTCCACTACTAAATATTCCTGAGGCTGGCTGGCTGGCCACTGGATCCAGAATAACAAGCCTAATTTGTGCATCCAAAAGCAGAAGTTGGTTGGTTCAGACATTATCCTTACCCGGTTGGCTTGGCTATCCAGGTTTGAATGATTGATCCTGAATGTTAGTTGATATTCTATTTGCTACTATATCTTTATTATAATTATAATTATTATAATTTAAGCATCTTTAATGAACTGTGGTGATTCCATTGTGATCTTGCTTTACAAATCGATATTACTATTTAAAAAGCACACACTAATATCTTGTTATTGACTACTAATCTAGAATATTCTGTGTATATAAATAAACATGCATATATAGATATAATTGTAGAGCGAGAAAAGGAGGAGGAATTTATCGAAAAGAATATCACTTTGCTGACTCAATTATATTTTGGTGTTTTATGGATGTCTGAATGAATATTTTTGCTACACTAAATAATTGTCTATTTATATCATGTTTGAAATTATGTTACCCCCATACTTTCTATCTATATAACACTTGAAATCATTGTAAAAAAGAAAGTCTGTTCAGAAATTTTGGAACATTCACCGTACTAAGAACACAGGGCACAGATAGATTTTTTGTACACATCAGCTCGATGATGGAGGTGATTCAGTTCACTTACAAAATTGGAAAGTCAGCAAGGGGAGGTTCCAATGTTAGATTGCAGCGTAAAAAGGAAAGAAGATGGGCAGTTAAACACACACCAGTGTGTTTACAGGAAACACGTACACACATTCAAACCGACATTTGGATTTCGCAGCCGATGTCTTTAACAATAGGACTGGTGAAATGTTGTTTAAGTGGCAATAAGGCAATAAGAAACTAAGTAGTGCCAAGGAAAATCTAAGACGACAGGAAGTGAGGCATATAAGAGAAGCTTTGAGACTTAATCAATAATTACCCTGATAAATTAATGATGAAGTACGTGGGAAAATGTAAAATTTAAGTTAATGATAATGGTGTAGTAATAGTGATGGTGACAAAATAATGCTGGTGACCACTTGCATGTCAAACATGCATAGAATGCTGACAAAATACCAACAATAGGGAATATAGATCCTCAGTAGTGTACTTGCATACAACCAAGGAACCTCGGAAACCTTACGGAGGAGAATTCTTAACAATGTAGGCATGGAGAAAAGTGGCTGGCGTTGTTTATTCACCCACAAAGTGAATTATAAAGAAGCTTTCTTAGTTAACGGAGCCAAGTAGACAGCTTAAGATAGTAGGACGGGTTCAGTCAGACTACCGTAGCACAAAAGCCTAGAAAACTTCTGGTAACCAGAAATTCCTGGGTTCGAACCCTGGTGGGTGCGTACTGTTGAAGAGTCCTAAACTAGGCTGACGAAACAACTGTCCAGTACTCCCAACTGGTTTTCCAATGTTTCTATAACCGATGTCAGTTCATGATGCAATCCTGTAACAAGTGAGTCGAATCCTTTAAAAACCAACACTTGGAAAATGTAGATGCATCGATCACAATAAGCTAAGAAATCTCTGGGCAGCAGTTCAGCTCTAGCACTAGAAGCGATTCCACACAACCATACAATAGAATGCGATAATAACTCCATTATGGATAAGATTTTATTTTGATAAACTGTCACACAGTGCAGTGTTATACAGTAATATCAACTGATGACCACGTTTTGAGCACAACTTATCCCTACTCATAATCATATCAAGTCACTCAATCACACAACTTTTCCCTTCATTTATATACATGTGTGGAATTCAGGATTAGATATTTGAATACAAATCTATATGGGATAATGTAATAATAAGTAATCTATGTAGGTAGAAAGAGAGATTGATCATTGAATCCTGCCTGGTTCATCGAGTCTACCTACACCCAACACATGCAACAGAAATGACTCTATGCAAATACCAGAGACATGTATGGAAGATATTATTACCACCAGTCAGTCAAATCAGAAGAGGATAATAAATAATCTTAAAATTCTATTTCAGTTCACGTACATCATCATAACAGTCTAACAAGTTACTTATTTTGACTATAAAAACACTCCTCCTATTTCCCATCTTGTTATTGTATTTGATCAATAACACTCATATTATTATTATTTCTGAATGTACATTATCCTTTATTACTGATTTGTATTCAAATGTCTAATCATCAATTCCACACATGTATATAAATGAAGTAAAAAAGTTGTGTGAGTGAGTGAGTAACTTGATATGATTATGAGTGGGAATAATAAATTGTGCTCGAAACGTGGTCGCATCAGTTGACATTACTGTACAACGCACTGTGTGACATTTTATCAAAATCTAATCGTATCCATAATGGAGTTATACTCGGCCACCACAGTGCCGAAGTTTTATACTTACATCAAGAATGCGATGATATTACAGTCTCAAAATCTAATATAACAGAGTGGACGGAGGGAGGCAGAGATTGATAATGGAAGCTTTACTTATCGAACTAACTGAGAGGGAATTATGATGTGTAATGGGAATGATTCAACACCTATCCACCCAGGCAGGCATCTAGAAAGTTGTACTACTCCTACGACTACAAATAGGAAAGCAGTAAAGAGAAGTATGAAACGTCGGTGGTATAGCGGTTAGGACGCTCACCGACCATGCACATGGTCCGGCGTTCGATCCCCGGCCATCCACGCACTCCTTTACCTCGCTAAACCAGAAATTATGCCGGTGAAGAGGAAAGGTTGGGCATGAGGTGGCTAGCAACCACATCCTGTAAAATGAACACCACTGCTACCGAAACTTCAAGCCACTAGCTTGAATGCGCCCTATGTTCCACTGGGGAACGTGAAGGAAAAAAATAAATAAATAAATAAATCGAAAGTTTCGAAGTGATATGATTATTAACAATGTTCGAACCTTCATCATCCAGTAATCAGTAATACCGTTTCCACACTGTGTATGTGTGATATATGTAATAAACAAAAAATAATATAGATAGAGATTAGAATTGGTTAATTAAGCTGTGTGTAACTAAAAGACAGTAGTCATTCATCATGTGTTGTATTATATTATTATTGTTCCCTTGGGTTCCTAGTGGAACATAGGGCTTCAACTGCACGTCTCCACTTGCTTCTGTCTTCTGCTGTTCTTTTCACTTGCGTCCATGTTATTCCATACTGTTTCATCTCCTCCTCACACGATCTCCTCCATGTCACCCTTGGACGTCCCACTACCCGCCACTTCCCTTTCGGGTTCCACTCGAGCGATGGCCTGACGCGCGATGTCACCCAGCGGTGGCCTCTTCAGCGAGTGTCCAATCCATCTCCACTTCCTCCTGCATATTTGTTGGGCGATTGGTTCCTGTTTCGTTTGTTCCCATAGCTTCTTGTTTGTGATTCTTTCCGGCCATCTAATCTTCAGTATGGATCGAAGACAGTTGTTGATAAAGGTCTGCAACCTGTTGAAAATATTCTTGGTGACCCGCCAAGTTTCTGTCGTTATTGTCTTGCCAGGGAAATACTTGCAATCCATAAATTAATACAAATTGTATTGAAACACAAAATAATCGAGCAAAGAATATTCGTTTCGATAAATTCCTCCTCTTCCAGCTCTACAATTATATCTATATATGCATGTTTGTATACATAGAATATTCTAGATTAGTAGTCAGTAACAAGATATTAGTGTGTGCTTTTTAAATAGCAATATCGATTTGTAAAGCAAGATCACAATGGAATCACCACAGTTCATTAAAGATGCTTAAATTATAATAATTATTATTATAATAAAGATATAGTAGCAAATAGAATATCAACTAACATTCAGGATCAATCATTCAAACCTGGATAGCCAAGCCAACCGGGTAAGGATAATGTCTGAACCAACCAACTTCTTTTGGATGCACAAATTAGGCTTATTAATGTGGATCCAGTGGCCAGCCAGCCAGCCTCAGGAATATTTAGAAGTCGAACTCTTAAGGCGAAATTGAGATTTGTTAGTTGGTATGCGGTAAATGACCCTGAAAGCCTCTTGGTTAACATCAATCAGTCTTGTGTTCTGTATCCACAAGATGAGTGAGATAGAATAGCACTGCGAATAGATAGATTTTGTTTGTCCTTTGCTTAACCAACCAACCACTGTGCAGGGTGATGTTCGGAAATTCGACGAGAAACACGCCTAATTGTACGGCCTATGCAAGTGAGTAACTGACTCACTCCACAGGAGCAGTTAAATTGGTAGATACAGACACATGGAAGAGGCGCAATTAGGCAGTTTGTCTTTTATTCTCGAACGAACGCAGAAGAGAAGTGGTTTTAAAGATACAGCGTAATTTGGCAGCAGGGAGTGCTCTTTTTACTGTATTTCTAAGGCGCTGTGTTAGTATCCCACTGGTGTTGTCTCCTAGGAACTGCATCTGTGAGAACAAGGCCTTTTTTGGAACTGTTGGTATCTTGGGCTGCTTTGATTAATTTAGATATATATATTCTTATCAATAAACTTTTCGGGATAACCATTCTCACTTAGCAACCGTTTAATATTATTATTAAGTTCCTCATCAAGACATTCATCCGAGCAAATCTCTCTTGCTCTCTGTGGCGGACCAAGCACTTTATTAGATTGCTGAGAAAATGTGTGTACTGATAGTCAGTTGATGTAGGTTTTCTATAAACACTTCCTCTTTTACTTATTGTGCCGTCCTCTTTTCTCGTCATAAGGACCGACATCTAAAAATGAAATACTAGAGGAGTCTTTTTCGTTCTCAATAGTAAAATTTATATTGCAGGAAATGTACCTCATTAAATTTATCCAAGATGATGTTGTTTTCTGTTGTTTTGTTTTTCTTCTGTTTTTGTTTGTTTTTTAGCGAGGTTTAGGCCTTTTAGATCGTTGTGGTGTTGAAGATTTATGCGCAAGCCTGTATGACTTTTGGCGGAATGATGACAATACTAGTCATATCCCTGTGTATCCAGTGAACGCCTTGTTTAAATCACTGATGTTTCCCAGTTGTTGGGAATCTCGACTTGATGATACTGTCGTGGTGACACGTTCATCATCTTTCACTTCATGTACCCTAGTCAATGGTAATAATCATAATCATAATAATCCTCATCATACAAGACGATCAACAGTGCCTGGAGTACCTGGAGTACCTGGAGGAGGAGTAGGAGGAGCTGAGCATTATGCTGCTGCTGAACGTGGTGATCATTATAATAACTTGTTCAATAGTGAAAATAAACTAATGAATGGTAGCTGTCTAGTCAGCTATCTGTTATCCTGTAGTTATATGGGAACAAGTTTTCTCGTGCCACATTCAATCTACGATTCTAGTGATACATCGCCACAGTGTTGTTCACGACCGTCAACAGCTTGTTGTCATTTCGTGATTGATAGAAGTCAGCAAACAGCATTATCGACATCATCATCATCAATATCATCAACATCATCATCGTCAGCGTCGGCATCATGTAATAATAACCATACAAGTCTAGTTCAACCAATTTACAGTTCAACAATGAATTGGCACCGGGGATGTGCTAATAATCTTGTCCTTATGCTGACTCATCATACGACAGGCTCTAAGAATTCATCCTCGTCTGTTGTTGATAAACTGTTAACTGGTCGATTTCTCCCTGGATATTCATCATGGCAATCTGTATGGCCATTCAATAATAATAATAATAATAAAAGTAATCAGAAATATTTTGATTACAAGTCATCTACTACTCAAGAAAATACTACTACTACTACTAGTAATAATAGTAATAGTAGTAATATGTCAAGTACTCTTGCATTATGGTTTTCTGCATGGTTACACTGTGGGGCAGTGCCTGTGTTAGCTCAGCTGTCCGATTCCACTCATCATCCGAGTGATCAGTGTAATTTGTCGGATTTCTCTCTACCCAAGGATAAGTCTACAAATCCCCCTCATCATCCGCCTCCTCCGCAATCACCACCACCACCTCAAGAACTTGTCTGGCGTCATCGGCTTGTCTACGGTGTTACGGAGAAAAGTAGGTTATGTTATGTTATGTTATTGTCATTTCAACACAATTTCACTTCATTTTTGTTCTAATTTTTATTTTTATTTTTTGAGCGTTTGTTATATAAAGCTGTTAACTAGGTATTTTTGATTGAACACTAGTCGGTAACTAGTGTGATGCGCCTAGTCCTCTCTCTCTTTGGTGCAGACTGAATTCTATCAGTCAGTCAGGTTGTATGTAATGTGGCCACCATTCTAGGTAGCTCGGCATCACGGTGTGTACATTGTTTGTGATGATATTAGTTATTAGATGGTTGGAGGCAATCGGCCACAGGAATCCTTGCGTGACCTAGGTTTCGTGCTAGTTGGCACTCACTAGTCAGTCAGCAAGGCGTATCTGCAACCACGTTGAAGGAACTCATGTCCCTTCTGAGATTCGAACCCGCGTCACCCAGTGAGTACTGCAGTCACAGACGTTACCAGCACTGAGCTATTCGGGCTGGCTCGCGATTGACCTCCTGTAGGACTGTAGTGGATATTTTGATTTGATATCACGGCTGAAGCCCTATGTTCCTCTAGGCATGCTGCTGCTGCTGGATTCAACATAGAACTTGGCACCGAAGTGCAGCAGTTCGAGTTGCCACGTTCCAAATAGCACACAAAGCTAGACAAGAAGATAGATGAGTGAAGAGAATCAATAGACTTTTGACAAGTATAAGAGGGAAACAGAATGAGTAATGGTAGAAAGGAATATGAAAGATTACACAAGAGACTGAATACATCTGCGTAAGCCATTGAAAACGATTTTGAGCCATGTCACCTATTGTCTGTCTGCAGCCATTGATTCTTAGAGTCCCGAGGGCGGGCCCCAACCCGGAAGTCTGCATATCCCTCCCTACCTGACTGACTCAGTTTAACTGTCAGGCATTAAAGGAAACAATAGTAATGATAATAATTATTAATATATTCGCTGACGTCCTTTATCTTGAACACATTTGCCTACAGTATATTTAATGGCTATAGGTATTCGGTGGTTACAATTTTACATACTACCACACACATATATATATAATTTAGACTATAATCTATTTGCAAATAACCTTTGGGATTTTAATATAAATGATTCGAAGTTCTCTGTTTAAAAACAAACACTAATGTTGTCATCAACCTTATTCAACAGCTGTACGACAACGGCACATGTCAAGTGATCCATAACGGAAAACTCAGTGAGGCGTTTACAGTTAACACAAGAGTCAGACAAGGGTGCTTATTATCACCAACGATGATATTCCTAATTGTGGTACACGACTGGATTATGCGTCGTCAGACAGTGGGTAACGAGAAGACAGGGATATCCTGGACCGACGTGAAGAACCTAGAAGACATGGATTTCGCGTGTGGATGATTTATGTTTGATGTCACACAAAATCGAAGACTTACTTACAAGCGAAAACCGACAAACTGGTCGAAGAAGCAGCCAGAGAAGACAGGACTCCAGGTGAACATAGACAAGACGGAGGTTATGAAAATAACCAACCAACCAACAAAAACAACAGCAGCAACATCCAGCGCCAATCACCATCAACGGGAGGGATTTGAAAGAGGTTACTTCATTCACTTATCCAGCTAGGGTACATTGTCTCAACTACAGGAGGAACGGACGAAGATGTCAAATCGAGAATCGGGAAGGCGAGAAACACATTCATCAACCTGAAACCAATCTGGAAATCTTCGTCACTCACTCAGCATTACTCAACAACAAAATTCGGATTTTCAATACAAACATCAAGTGAGTCAGTTCTTCTATACGGATGGATCAGAAACTTGGCGGTGGGTCACAAAGAATATTTCCAACAGCCTGTTGCAGACCTTTATCAACAACTGTCTTCGCTCTATACTGAAGATCAGATGGCCGGAAAGAACAAGAACAAGAACCAATCGCTCAACAAATATGCAGGAGAAAGTGGACATGGATTGGACACTCGCTGAAGAGGCCACCGCTGGGTGACATCGCGCGTCAGGCCATCGCTCGAGTGGAACCCGAAAGGGAAGTGGCGGGTAGTGGGACGTCCAAGTGTGACATGGAGGAGATGGTGTGAAGAGGAGTTGAAACAGTATAGACTAACATGGATGCAGGTGAAAAGTACAGCAGAAGACGGAAACAAGTGGAGGCGTGCAGTTGAAGCCCTATGTTCTACTAGGAACCCAAGGGAACAATAATATAATAATAATAATGTTGTCAATGTCGATCATTCTTTCATTATTATGGATGGATCCATATCACTGTAGAGCCTGATGATGAAGAGCAGGTTATCGGACATCAATTCGATTGGGACAACCAACGTTCAAATATTAGACAGAGGAAACAACACCAAGAATGTTAGCCAGAGAATTTTTAGAAGCCTGCCTTGTATTCCAGTGAATCATCAATCAAAAGACACATCGAGATAGACACACACACACAAAGGCTCAAAGTTCAAGTCAAAGAAACTATGAGTGACAATACAAGTAACCTAGAAGGTGTGAAAACACACAAAAACAACCAATCAATCAAGTCCAAGGTTATCGACCGGAAGAGATGATTAATAGACTCGTGGAGAAATCTGAAAGCTCACTTCAATTCAAATTGAAGTATGCGCTGAAGATGTCGCCTAGTAGGGCGATGAAAGCTTGGCAAATTAACTATCCAGCTGGCTCAGAGAACACAACCACATCAAAATCATCCACCTGAGCTACAGATCTTCTCTGTAATATCCAGACTGATACATCGGAAATGTGTAAGATAGCTTTCGTGCACACTCTTGGACAAGACTCGAGTCGAATGATCTATATATAGGTAGTTCCACACGAGCAGGTGAATTGATAAACGCACATATAGTAGTATCATAGATTAATTTCAACTCTGTTGATCAGTTTTTTTTCTAATTAATTTGGCGTACATTTAATTTTTACTTATTTTTTTGTTTTTTAGATGAAGTTTACCTAACAAATCCAAATGAATTAGTCCCTGTACAATATGTATTAGATCAGTTATCTAGGCAAACAGAAATACGTATTACTAAAGCGCAGATTTCAAATCTATGGACTAAGCATTATTTACACTCGAAGTTTTACAATGATAGAAATCAGACTACAAGTGTTAATGATAAAGAAATTGTTTCGTGTAAATCGACATTTTTCACTGGTGAAAGTCTCACTTTACTCGCCAGACATCCAGATCCTAGATGGGCTTCCATGAATATAATGGGTAGGTGTTGTTATTATGATTACTATTTTTGGTCATTATCATTTACCGTATACAAAGGTAAATCATCCATCCTCTACTGTACTCACTGAAGCCGGTGTCCCCCAAGGTGCTGTACTCTCCCTACTTCTCTTTTCTTTCTTTCTTTCTACATGACTTACCATCTTCAAATGACATTAATTTTGTCAAATACGCTAACGACCTGACAGTATCTTTGCCTGTCAAGTGTCAAAGTGACTGCTCTAAACTTAATGGCTTTCTGTCAGAAATCAGCCAGTGGTCCAAGGAAAACGGTCTTACCCTAAACCCTTCCAAATGCCAAAGAATCAATTTCACCTTGAGGCATAAATCCGACCTAAACAAACTGGTTGGCTCTCACGAGGTGTGCAACATAGATGGAACTGAAATAGAAACCAAGTCGGAAATTAAATACCTAGGCGTCATTCTATCTGCTGATCTCTCCTGGTCGTCTCATATCTTGACGATTTCTAAGAAAATATTCCGTCTTACCTTCTACATCAAGAAGTTAAAATAATCTGGTATAACCCAATCCTAACTCCTACAATTCGTCAATTCTCGCATTCTGCCTATTATTCTCTATTGTTCCCCCTTAGTTTTTCTCGGGATACTGAAGAAAGACTATAACATATTACGCAGGATGTTAAAGGTTGTCAGCACGGTAAGCAATGTGCCACTTAACCAGCTTGTTAATATTCTGGTCGACAGGCAGGCACTTGGACTCATGTGAAAAATGGGCCAAATCCATTTCATCTAACTCACACCACCCTCTTCACTCACAACTCTCCCCTTGCATCTCATTAGGCAAAACCAGAAGCATATATAGAAAACCATATGCTCGCACCAGCAAGCACAAAAACTCAACCATACCCTACTTAGCTCGTGTTCTGTGCGATAAAGGAAGCATTAGGCGTGACACCTATAATTCATTAAATAGTCAGTAGTACAACTGGATCTCGTCTTTCCAACTCATATCATTTATAGGTACAACATTTTCTTTCTTTCTTTTCCTATCCTCTCTCTCTTCTTTCCGTTATGTGATGCTTTGTTTGTTTCTCTCGCTTACGCCAGTAAATATGACAGCACCTACTTTTCTAACACTTTCAAACACTGTTCAGCTTTGGCTTTACTACCGACATGCCAATGTATTGTTGTAATAATGAACTGAGATTTCCTTAATCTATGTAGAATTCTATTTATTGATAATGTACTAACTGGATGCAATACTGTAGTAAAAAAAATGTGCTGAGAATTCCATTCTGCATCACAAGTACCCTTTTTGGAATAAAGCAAATTATTATTATTATTCCCTTGCGTTCCCAGAGGAACATAGGATGCTTTCAAGCTTGAAGTTTTGAGTAGCCATAGGTTTTATTTATAACTGGGCGGGGTTGTGCCAGCCAGCCAGCCAGCCTTATAAACTGGCTAGAAGGAGATAAAGGTGTGCGCTGGCCCTGGGATCCAATCCTGAATCTGGTCTGGATTCAACATAGAACTTGGCACCGAAGTGCACCAGTTCGAGTCGACACGTTCCAAATAGCACACAAAGGTAGACAAGAAGATGGATGAGTGAAGAGAATCAATAGAATTTAGATAAGTATAATAGTGAAACAGAATGAGTAATGGTAGAAAAGAATCTGAAGGTTAAAGAGACTGAATACATCTGCGTAAGCCATTGACAACGATTTTGAGCCATGTCACCTATTGTCTCCAGCCATTGATTCTTAGAGTCCCGAGGGCCCCAACCCGGCAGTCTGCATCTCCCTCCCCACCTGACTCAGTTTAACTGTCAAGGATTTCATGGACTGATGCCATGTTTTTGTTTGGCCACCACTTACTCTTTTCCAACCTTCACCTATATCAGCTAGTAATGCCCGTCGGGAGAGGGAGGCGATGGTGAGGCATGCGCAGCACGTCACCTAGCCACCTCAATCTATGTAACTTTATAGCCTCTTCGATTGATTTTCCCTCTTTCCCCAACACTCTACGCCTAACGTCAACATTACTTACCTTATTATACCACCTAACGCGAGAAAGAGATCGTAAACATCTGTGGTCAAAAACAGACAATCTCTTCATGTCTTCCGCTCTCAATGGCCACGTCTCACCGCCATAGAGCAGTATACGCGTCCCTTGGTTGACAGCCGCATATCACGCCTACGCCAGAGACGGTGTAAGTTAGCGAAAGCAGCCCTAGCTTTCTGGATCCGTGCTGTGATTTCGTCATCAATCAATCCGTTGGTGCTGATACAACTTCCTAAATAGGTGAAGTGGTCAACATATTCTATCACTTCACTCCCTATCACTAAGCTAGGAGTTGACGTAGTCCAGTCCTGTAGCAACATCTTACATTTCACAGGGGCAAATCGCATGCCAAACATACGAAGATTGCTGCTCAAGGTGTTCAGAAGACTCTGCATTTTGTCAGCGTCCTCCCCTAACGGGACTATGTCGTCCTGAATCACTTTCAGTGTGTGTGTGTGTGTGCATGTTTGGTTGGCGAGCATTTTTACCACTGAACTCTACCCCCGAGCAAAATGGATAGGAGGGAGGGTTTGGCTGTTTCCATTTTAATCATTCAAATATTTTTTTAATTATGTTTGTCTGATCTGTCGCTGCTTAGTGTGTGAGTAACTAAACTGTCAATCAATCTGTGTGTCTCAAGTTCAGCCTTTCAGCCTTTGTACTCTTTATTGTTACCTGACTCATGCAGCCAGGTGAGGGCTGCATGCGGCGAGTTGTCATCTGAAGTGGTGATGACTGACTAGTGGCGTCCGTCAAGGATGCCCATTATCCCCTATTCAACTTCATCATAGACGTACTAATGGAATGAACCCTAACACACTTCAGCGACTCAGGGATTGACTTGCTACCAGGGATGGAATAATCTCGTCGACTTAGAATATGCATGCGGACGATATAGTCCTTCTAGGCGAGGACGCTCACAAAATGCAGACACGGTCTTCTGAACACCTTGAGCTGCAATCTAAGAATGTTTGGCATGCGATTCGCCCCTGTAAAATGTAAGACGATGCTACAGGATTGGACTTCACCGACCCCTAGATTAGAAATAGGAAGTGAAGTGGTTGGTGGAGCACGTTAACCGCCTCACTTACTTGGGAAGTACCACCAGCCAGTGCCAACGGGTTGATCTCCGACGAAATCTCAGCACGAATACAGAGGGCTAGGTTCGCATATGCCCGCCAGTTTACGCCGTCTCTGGCTTAGTAGACGTGATATCCGACTATCAACCAAAGGGCGTGTGTACTGCTAAAAAGTCCGCTCCGTCCTCCTTTATGGCTGGCTGTGAGACCTGGCCATTGAGAGCAGAAGACATGAAAAGATTAGCTGTCTTCGATCATATGTGTCTGCGTTCTATCTCCCGCGTGAAGTGGTATGATAAGGTGATCAATATTGAGGTTAGGCGTCCAGTGAGTGCTAGGTAAGGCGGGGAAATCAATAGACGAGACTGTGAAATTACATCGACTGACATGATTAGGACATGTGTTACGTATGCATCCCTAGCTATCGCCTTCCTCGACAATGGGCAATGTTAGCTGATATAGGGCCAGACTGGAAAAGAGCTAGCGGCGGTCAAACCAAAACATGGCCTCACCAGTCAATGAAATCTACAACACTTAGTTTAAGCCAGCCACGTAGGAAGGTGTAGACTGGCTTCCTGGTTGGGGTCCTCGGGACGGTAAAAACCAATGGTTGGAAACAATTGGTGACATGGCTCAAAATCGTTGTCAGTGGCGCAAATGCATTCACTCCTTGTGACTTATGATTTCCAATGAAACTGTTTTGTTCTTCGTTATTACTATTCCTTTGTCTCACACCTCTGTTTACTGTCTATATTATGCATTTCTTCTTCTTTCTTCTCTTCCTTTGTGTGCTACATGGAGTGTTGCGACTTGAACTACCGCACATATATGTAAAGTTCTATGTTGAAAACCGACCGACCTTATTTTTACCTGAGAATTGTTATCCAACTAGGCACTGTTTGTATACAGAAGGTGTTTTCATTTACTGCCATATGTGGTTTAGACATGATATATCTGTATGGCTATCGATCAAAGGGCGTGTGTACTACGATTCACTTCGCTTTATCTTTCTTTATGCATGGCTGTGAGACATGAAAAGGTTAGCTAGCTGTATTTGATCACAGGTGCGCATGTGTTCTATCTCCTGTGCTATAAGTGGTCGATTTAATAGGCTGAGCTGTAGAGTGAGGTTAGGCTTCGGTCTAGTACTAGGTAAGGATGGAAGAGCGAAGTCAATTTATTAACGATGTTGCGAAGCAGTTACACCACCGATTGAGGTGGTTAGGAGGACGTGTGTTACGCATTCAAAGTTATCTATCGCATTCCATCGAACCACCTTTCGAACCCGTCTTTTACACATTGCCGAAGAAGCTATGGGAATTAATTCGAGAGAACAATCCTAGTTTCTTTGCATACAACAAAAAAAGTTTGTTCTACCTTTGTCTCTCCCTTGCTTAGCTAGCCTAGGTGAATTCTATTCAAAACCCTCCCACCCTTTCTTATTTTCCATTGCCTTCGTACTTCTATAATATTTATTTAAACTCTTATTATCTGTCCACTTCACCCATCTTTAGTATTACGTAACTTTTAAGATTTGACCTAATTTGATTATTTATTGAATTGTCTACATATACACACGTATTACTACCTTCGTTATTCTTATCGCCACCTGCATAAACCTTATTATCAATATTTTTTTGTTATCATTATAATCATCGTTATTAACTACGTTCAAAACATTTACCACATTATTATTATTATTTGATTCACAAAATCACCGTCATTGGTTAAAATTTTTATATATAAATCTATGCAAATTAGAGTAAAGCCTGAAGAAGGGGATCTAATTGAAAACTATATTGTTTGCTTATATATCTTGTTCTAATATTACGCATTTACGCCTAGCCATCGCCTTCCTCGACGACGAGCTGGGCGATGTTAACTGACTGACATAGGATAGATGAGGTCGGAAAAGAATTAGCTAGTGGTGGTGGTCAAACGAAAACATGGCTTCATCATCAGTCAATGAAATCCACAACAGTTAGCTAAAGCCAGTCACTTAGGGAGATGTAGACTGACTGACTGACTGACTGGCTGGCTGGCTGTTTGGTTGGGGTCCTCGTAATGGCAGGCAGCAACTAATGAAGGCCTGAGGTAATTGGTGATATGGCTGGCTGGTGAAAATTGTTCTCGTGTATGGCTATCGCTGGTGCAGATACATTCACTCTTTTCGATGATTTATCACATGCAATAAAACCCTATTGTTCTTCCATATTACCATTCTTTTTGTCTAGCCACACTTCTGTTCATTAACTTTTTCTTTTTTTCTTTCGGATCTCTGTTTACTCTCTTCTGTTGCTTTTTGTGTTAAGTGAAGGGAGTGTTGCACATCTTTGGAAAGTCCTATGTTGAAATCAGTCAGTCACACTACTACTGTGCCACGTTACACGCGACATAGAACGGAGATAGGCATGGTCGAAGACAGCTAACCTTTTTAAATCATGGAAAATTCCCATTGTAACATATAGAAAATCAAAACAAGTGGTGATTCAGCGAAGAGACTCTTTTCAACAATGAATTTATCATCAAGCTGTACAATCGTATATATATATATATATATGGTTTTTAAGAAGTTATATCCGGTGAGGGAATTGAATCATAGGTGTGAATGCATAAAATAATAATAATAGTAATATGAAATGCAACTAAAACTGAAATGTTTGTGATTATAATCGTAGGTAAATGTCAAGTGGTAAAGCAAATTAATGTCATACATAGAATAATTCATAGGATGGATAGAACTTGATAGGTGAAGGGTGTGCAATTATAAGATTAGTAGACAAATCGAATAAAATAAAATAAAATCGTTACGTATTCGGCGCATATGTAGCCCTGATACTGTGGAAGATGAATTATACATCTTGAGGAAAATCCTAATAGAAAATGGATTTCCACCACGTTTTATAGATAAGAATATACATTCAAATCCTAAGAAACGTGACTTATCAACCGTACCCAAGAAGATACTTGGAATTCAAAGGGGACTCTTAGCTTCCGATATCATGAAACGAAAGATAGCACACAGTCCCTGAAAAGAACATTCCCTGCTGCATCCCTGAGAATAGCCTTTACTAGTCGACCATTATTGTTCAGTAACCTGAAGGACAAGATCCCGCAGTTGACCAACTCTATGTGTGTTTATCAATTCACCTGCTCGTGTGGAGCTAGGTATATCGGTCGTTCGACTCGAGTTTTGTCCAAGAACACTATCCTGCATGGTTACGAAAAGGTGGAAGTGGATTAATAGGAAGCGCGATCATTGAACATCTGGTCGATAATGATCACCCAGTTATCTCTATAGCCTCCGCCTTCAAAGTCATCTACAAGGCAAAGAGTAATTTACCTAAATCCCTACGTACCCGACTCATCTGTATTGCTGAAGCTTTGGCTATCGAAACAGAAAAGCCAGATCTCTGTGTACAGAAAAAGTTCGTTCAACCCCTCCAACTTTCATGGTCTTAATCCCTCTATGCTAAAGTATGGTAATCCCCAGTCATATTGTAGCTCTACCAATTTTTCATTTTTGTCTATTCAATTTGTATACTCTTCCTTATTAATTCAAATGTTACTATTACTACTCTCACTTTTAATTGTCCCCGGTATTATTTCACTTGTTCCACTTGTCATTCTAAATCAATTCCTTTATGCAACATTAAATTCTATGCTATTAAATTTCACACAATATTACGTAACGATTTTATTTTATTTTATTCGATTTGTCTACTAATCCTATAATTGCACACCCTTTTTCAAGTTCTATCCATCCTATGAATTATTCTATATATGTGACATTAATTTGCTTTGCCACTTGACATTTACCTACGATTATAATCACAAACATTTTAGTTTTAGTTGCATTTCATATTACTATTATTATTATTATTATCATTATTATTATTATTTTCTGCATTCACACCTATGTTTCAATTCCCTCACCGGATATAACTTCTTAAAAACCATATATATATATAAATATATATATGTATTTTGCAGCTAAATACGCTGAAAATGTTTGTACCATATGTTCTCATATATATAGTCTGAAATAAAGGTTTGCGTCGGCGGCGGCACAGCAAGAGAGTGCTGGCCGACCACGCAGGCAGGCGGCCACCGACGCACTCCTTTACCTCTCACTAAGCCAGAAATAAGACTGGTAAAGAGGGAAGGTTGGCCATGAGGCTAGCAGCTCCATCCCGAAAAAAAATAATCACCACTGCTACCGAAACTTCAAGCCTCTAGCTTGAAGACATTTGTACAAATGTAAATATATATATTTGTAAAATTTCAGCGATATTGAAATGAGTAATCCCAACGTTTCCTGCGTTCCGCAATCTGGTCCGAACTTCTTCAGTGAAATTAATCGAAATTAACATAACAGAGGTTTATATATATATATAAAAGGAACATCTCTTGTTTTTAAAAACTTTGTCCAATCATACGAGTCACGAAACAGGTATCAACATGTATAATAAACAAAATTGTATGTGCTGTGATCAAAATTTGACCTCGGACTTACAAATATTGGTCTACCTTTGTTAAACACTTTAAACATTGTGTACTTTTACAACATCAGAATTTTAGTGATTACGTTCGACTAAAAGTTCATGGTCTCCTAGATAACTGAATATGAAAATCTCTATATTTGTTTATGCGGTATACAATGGTGTGTGTGGGTAAACAGTTGTAAAACATTTGTTAACGTCTCCATAAGAAGATATAGACAATCGGGAATTTTGTTTGACCAAGTATTAATAATTAGTGATACATATCCATTTTTTTAAATTTATGAATCTGAATTTGCTATGCATCAGCTAACATCACACCTTCATGTTTGTTCGAACTGTTAGTTTTTACGAGTTGATCACGGATTATTGATATCAGTTAGAGAACCATTGAAAACCAGCCACAGGGAGTACTGGACAGCTGCTGTTTCGTCCTAGTTTGGGAATCATCGGCAGTACGCACCCATCACAGAGGGTTTGAACGCAGGACCTTCCGGTTATAAGGCAAGCTCGTATACCATTCAGCCACTGGGATCCGATTAAATGGCTCATGAATGGTATACGAGCTTGCCTTGTAACCGGGAGGTCCTGGGTTCGAATCCCAGTGGGTGTGTACTGCCGATAATTCCCAAACTAGGATGAGACAGCAGCTGTCCAGTACTTCCTCTGGCTGGTCTTCAATGGTTCTCTAGCTGACATCAATCCGTGATCAACTCGTGAAAAAGCATAACTAACCCTCACTAACCAAACTATAGAAAGTAAACTGTTAGTATCTCGAATTTTATGGTTAGACGTATTTTCAAAATTATGGTGTTTAGGATTTTTCCACTGGGAACGTAAAGGAATATATATATATATATATATATATATAATATCATATTAAATAATATTACATGTATTGATCAAATCGCCACACTACAAATCATCATTGAACAAAGCTTGGAATGGCAGTCACCTCTCTATCTCGCTCAACTTCATTGACTTTGAAAAGGCCTTTGACAGCACAGCGTCGATCGAGAGGTGATTTGGAAACTACTTCGCTACTATGGGGTGCCACCGACAATTATACATCTCATCCAACAGCTGTACGAGAATGCTGCATGACAAGTAATCCACAACGGGAAACTCATGGAATCCTTCTAAGAAGTGAGGACAGGAGTAAGACAAGCTGGCTGGCTGCCTACTATCGTCAATGATTTCCCTGATTGCAGTAGACTGGATAATGTGATAAACAGCGGGCAATGAGGAAACAGGCATAAAATGGACTCACACAAAAGGAGACTTGGAGGATCTAGACTTCGCCGATAATATATGTCTGATTTCTCACAAACTGGAAGATATGCAAGCGAAAAGCAACAAGTTGGCAGAAGAAGCATCCAGAGAAGATAGGACTTCAGGTGAACATGGAGAAAACAGAGGTAATGAAGATTTCTGGACAAGAACAACAACAATAGACAACGATCACTGCATAAATGGGAGGAGCCTGAAAGAAACAACCTTCTTTACCTACCTGGGAAGCTTCGTTTCAACTACAGGCAGACTGAACTGACGAGGATATCAAAGCAAGAGTCGGGAAAGCAAGACAAGCTTTCACTACTCTCAAGTCTGTGTGGAGGTCAACAGCACTCAGCATGAAAAATAAGATCCGGATTTTCAACTCCAATGTGAAGTCAGTCAGTGCTACTATACGGATCAGAGACTTGGCCAGCGCGTCATAAAGAGCATCTCAAACAAACTACAGACCTTCATCAACACCTGTCTTCGCTCAATACCACTCAAGATCAGATGGCCGGCCAGAAAAGATCAGCAACAGGGATCTCTGGGAGCGAACCAACATGGCAGGAACCGATTGTGAAACAAATAGGCAGGAAGAAATGGAGATGGATTGGATTGTGGCCATACTCTGAGGAAACCATCAAGTGAGTGACATTAGTAGACAAGCCATTGCTCGAGTGGAACCCGAAAGTGAAGCGGCGAGTTGGTCGTCAGTGCAAGGGTGAGGGTGACTTGGAGGAGGTCATGTGAAGAGGAGATGAAAACGTGTGTGATGGCAGACTTGCAGCCACGTGAAGACTGTAGCAGAGAAGCGAACGCAATGGAGACGTGCGGCTGCAGAAGCCCTATGTTCCTCTAGGAATTAGAGGAAACAATAATAGTAATAATATTTCTTAGCATATACGTCTAATCTATTTTAATTCCTCTTTTCTTTTTTTCGTTTCTAGGACAAGTACTCTGCGCTCTTCGTAGCCTAGAACGATGGGCTGATAATCTTGAACTATCCGCTGCATCATCATCATCATCCGACTGTGCCAGTAATCATCAATCATCATCATCAGTATTTCTCGAGGCCAATTCTTCTTCATCGATCAATTTCAATCGTAACAACAGTTCTACAGAAATAGAACAATTTTCAACTCCTCCAGCTATTGTTATCCCATCAGCTCAAGTACCAGGGATTAGTCTGTTTGTTGTGAAATCCAACTGGGAACTAGTTCATACACTGTTGCAGAGTAAATACATCCAATAATAAATATGAAGAAAGAAAACACGCCTTTTTTTTGTTATTCAGTGGAATTGTCATGCATTTCTTGTTGTTCTGTTGGTTTGTCCCCACCCTTCGTCCCCGGCTGACAATTCATCAGTCCTTGCTTTGTGATGATCATCTTCAACACTTCAATTTTTTTTTAATAATTGAGATTGTGTACATAATACATATATTCATACATTCCACCCCCACCCCCCATACTAACAAACAATTTGACCTAACTCTATGATGATGATGATTTCAAGCTGTGTCGATATTTACCAAAAAAATCGATATATAATATTTTCTGGTCTCAGTAATATATATGCATACACACTAACATCTTTATAATATTTTTCCATTGTACCACAAGGACGTTAGGCATCTGCATCCTCCCCACCCCACTCTGGCCGCCGCCGCCGTCATCACCACCAACCCCTCCTCCGTCCTCCCCGTATTCTTTGTCTGTTTTATTTCCTACAGCTTGCTTTTGTGTAACTGAGGTCTTAATGTCGCTGAAATAATAATAATAATAATATAAAAATTTATAATAATTCAGATAATAATTTGAGGTATATTTTCTTTTTACTACAGAAAAAACAATCTCTATTTATTATTATTATATTATTATTACTATTGTTTCCTTTAATTTCTAGAGGAACATAGGGCTTCTGCAGCCGCGCACGTCTCCATTGTGTTCGGTTCTCTGCTAGAATCTTCACCTGGCTCCAAATCTGCCATCACACACGTTTTCATCTCCTCTTCACATGACCTCCTCCAAGTCACCCTTGCACTGACGACCAGCTCGCCGCTTCCCTTTCAGTCGGGTTCCATTCGAGCAATGGCTTGTCTACTAATGTCACTCACTTGATGGTTTCCTCAGAGTATGGCCACAATCCAATCCATCTCCATTTCTTCCTGCCTAATTGTTTCACAGTCGCTTCCTGCTGTGTGTTGGTTCTCTTATCGCCACAGATCCCCTTTTCTGGCCGGCCATCTGGTCTTGAGCGAAGACAGCTAGCTGTTAATGAAGGTCTGTAGTTTGTTTGAGATGCTCTTTATGACGCGCAGTGCGAGTCTCTGATCCGTATAGTGAGTAGCACTGACTGACTTCACACTGGAGTTGAAAATCCGGATCTTATTTTTGACGCTGAGTAGTGTTGTTGACCTCCCCACACAGACGAGAGTAGTGGAAGCTTGTCTTGCTTTTCCGATTCTGGCTGCTTTGATATCCTCGTCAGTTCCGTCCGCCTGTAGTTGAAACTATGCTTCCCATGTAGATAAAAGAGGCCCTTTTTTTATACATTTGCAAAGTGAAAAAAAAAGGATTGACTGAACGAATAACTATTCACCTTTTAATTAAATCGTCATCTCACTCTGACTCTACTCTAATATACAAGTTATTGAAGTTTTCTTCATCTAGCACAAATCGGCCGACCGATGCCTCATCTCAGTATTGCTCACCAGCCTGTTACAAACCTAAGACGGTAGAAAGTAAGAACGCAGACACCTATGATGAAGCACAGCTATCTAGCTAGGTAGCCTGGCTTTTCGTGTCTGTCACTCTGAATGGCCATGTCTCAATCAGCAATTAAGGTAAACGCAGCGTTGTGTGAACTGATAACACAAAAGTCTTGCTGAGTAGCGTCATTTTTGGAATGAGGCATTTAGAAGACAAATTTTTGCGAGATCATATATTCATTTCGTGGTTTCTTGACAACGGCTTTACAAATAACATGGTTAACAATAATAAAATAAAATGAATGACAATTACTCAGCTATATGAAACAAAAGTACATACTAATGAACAATTATCACATTTAAATAGGTCAAGTAGTCAGTCCATTGTAGGCGAAGGTTGAAGTCTATTGTTTTGACTGTACACATAGTTTAGGATATGTGTGATTCATCCCCGGAATGATTCCATCACCCTTAACAACCAAACTTGAATCGGAGCTATATGGTGAAATAATTGTGAGGCAGTTATTAATGTGGATTTTGTGACCTCACAATAATAAGTGCTTTGGAATGAATGGTGATGATGGATTTCTTTTCAGAATAAATGCATTGGGATTTTCTTAATAACCATTTTGGAACACTTTCATTTTCACGACATTGGAAGATTGTATTGGTTCTAACTATACGGATGTCACCTTGACTGCAGGTTAACTTGTAGATACATTGTGAATTAGAGTCCACAGAATTTCGTCCTTGATTCGTAGAGATGCAGGGATGGAAAATTGACATAAGTATAAAATTTGGGCACTGTGGTAGAGCAGAGTATAACTACTCCATTATGGATGAGATTTTATTTTGATAAACTGTCCCACAGTGCAGTGTTATACAGTAATATCAACTGATGCGACCACGTTTCGAGCACAAACTATTGCCACTCATAATCATATCAAGTTACTCACTCACTCACACAACTTTTTTCCTTCATTTATATACATGTGTGGAATCTATTAGATATTGGAATAAAATTCAATATGAGATAATGTACATTCAGAGATAATGATATGAGTGTTGTTGATCAATTACAATCAGATGGGAAATATGATGAGTGTTTTTATAGTCATAATAAGTAACTTGTTAGAATGTTGTGATGTGTTTGAATTGAAATAGAATATTAAGATTATTTATTATTCTCTTCTGATTTGACTGGTGATAATAATATCTTCCACATTTCTGGTATTTGTATTGAGTGATTTCTGTTGCATGTGTTGGGTGTAGAGTCACTAGAGGAAGCAGGCAGGATTCAGTAATCAATCTCTCTCTATCGCCACCTACATAGATCACTTCTTAGAATTTTAACTCTCTCCCACCCTATTGTGTGGTTTTTGTGTTAATGCATTTAGTCCTAAATAAATAAAATAATATAATTTACAAAATACCCTGCAATGACTGTGAAGTCAATTACATAGGTCAAACTAGTAGGTCGGGAGTAGTCAAATTGTCGGAACAAGAATTTAGCTAAGGTAAGAATGGTTGACCCCGAGAAGATAAGTAATTTAGAAAAAAGCTCAGCACTACATTGCACTGCATGCATTAACACACAATGGGGTGGTTGGAGAGGGTTAAGATTCTAAGAAGTAATCTATGTAGGTGGAGAGAGAGGTTGATTACTGAATCCTTGTTGACTGAGTCTACACCCATCACATGCAACAGAAATGACTGAATGCAAATACCAGAAATATGGAAGATATTATTACCACCAGTCAGTCAAATCGGAGGAGGATAATGAATAATCTCAAATTGTATTCTATTTCAGTTCACGTACATTATCCTATATGACTGATTTGTATTCAAATGTCTAATCACCAATTCCACACATTTATATAAATGAAGGAAAGAAGTTGTGTGAGTAAGTTGATATGATTATGAGCGGTAATAATTTGTGCTCGAAACGTGATCATCAGTTAATATTACTGTACATCACTGTGTGACAGTTTATCAAAATAAAATCTCATCCATAATGGAGTAGTTATACTCTACCACACCACAGTGCCCGAATTTTATACTTATATCAATATTATCTGGAGTTGCAAAGTGGATTAGACGAAAGTGATCAGACGAAAGTATGGTACCACTGCATCAAGTGTCTCACTGTTTGGGATGTAGACTGCATCGGTGTGATAGGAATCAGTAATTGAAGTGTATTTGAAATTTCTTGCTAATGACACTGATTTGTTGACTCCTTGTTATGAAAAGCAAGACACGAATAGTTCAGCGAAGAGTCTCTTTTCGGCGGCGAATTCATTCACTTAGCTATGCAATCGCAATTACACATAATTATTTTTGTATGTGTGTGTGTGTGTAAATTAGCTTGGTCGGACAAGAATAAAAATGAGTTAGAGTTGTTGTCGTTGTTGCTTACGTCATCAAAATATTTCAGAAAATGTGGTGAATAATCAAATTGTAATCTGGACTCGAGTGGGGGGGGGAATGAAGATTAGTATGGGAGTAGTAGCGATGAGCTGTCAAAAAGCATAGTTGCTAATGTTAGTCAATGCATGAGAGAAGTCGGGCAAGTGTATAAAAGATATATAGATGACACTTTCATTGTATGTGACGAAAACTCTTCAACTGCTGAACTTCTTGGAATATTTAATGGTTCTCACCCATCTTTGCTTTTCACGGTCGAAGAAGAGTCGAATTCCTCATTTCACTTCCTTGATGTAAAGCTAGATAGAAGAGAGAATGGTACGTTGCTAAGGTCGATTTACCGAAAGCCAACATTCACTGGGCAGTACACTAACTTCAACAGTTGGGTACCCTTAGGGAGAAAGAGAAATCTTATTCATTCCTTATGCTCCAGAATTCGTAAAATCTGCTCTGCAGAGACAATCGATAGTGAACTAGATAAGCTTCGATCAAATCTCCTTAATAATGGTTATCCTACAAGGTTTATCGAACGTAACATCAAGAAAGAACACGCCCCCAGACAAATTACAGTGCCGAAGAAAAAACTGTTCATGAGTCTGGCATTCAAAGGTGACACCATTTCGGAATTGATTAAAAATCGTTTATCTAAATGTATTAAACGTACTTTTCCTGCAGCTGACTTGCAACTAGATTTTACCAGCCGAAATATGATTAGACAGTGCGTCAAGGATAGATTACCGCTTTTGTCCACATCTGTGTGTATTTACTCTTTTACCTGCTCTTGTCGAGCTGTTTATATGGGACGTGGTAAGCGTAATCTCCGAAAACGTGTAGCTGAACACTATCCAGTCTGGTTAATGAAAGGAGGACGTAGAACTGCAAAGTCGTCTATCTGTGATCACCTGTTACAGCCTGGTCATTCAGCCACACGTGATTCATCTTTCAAAGTTATCTACATGGAAAATCGAATCGATCCAAAAGTTTACGTTTTCTTCACTTATGCATAGCCGAATCTTTAGCTATACATGAACAGAAACCTAAATTATGTGTTCAAAAACGTTTTGTCAAACCCCTTTCTTTACCTTGGTCGTAGTAATGTTCTTTCTAGTTTTTACTTTATTTTATTTTACCACTTGAATTCTTTCCACTTCACTTCACATCTTCATTCTTATCGTAATCGTACTCCTAATTTTTTAAAGTTTTTAGACAACATTTGACATTTGCAAAACATTTTTCAACTCACTTATAAAACAATCTTTAATAATTTTGTAATTTATCCACTTCAACTCTACCCCTGATAACATTTTAATTATCGTTATTCTTATCACATATATGTATATTGACTGAGCAATTATTTAGTGCCACTTAATGACCTTTTCTGTAATATAAATACGACTGTACAGCTTGAAAATGAAGTCGTTGAAAAGAAATTTCTTCGCTGAACAAAAAGTGTATTATAGTTGCATAATAAGATAAATAATTTAATGAGTGAGTGAGTTTTGATTAGGGTGGTACATAGATAGAAGTGAAGCGAAGGAAAAAAAATATGGAATTCTGCGCTTGCGGAGCGAGTTATATTGGCCGTTGTTGCTCTAGGAACTTCATTTTTCGTGCTCGCTCGAGAACATCTCGC